AAAGAAAACCTAGCTTGATTAGTTTTCTCTTTTACTTTTGCTCCTCCAACACCCCCCCCCCCAAAACTCCACCCCAATGGACCCAAGCCCTTACTGTCGTGTTCTTCCTCGTTTAGGCTTCTCATTGAAGGCCCATTAATTGGTAAGTAATAGCAAAATGAGAATTAGTTTTCAGGGTAGAACCTGAAAAAGAAGGCCTACTCTCCGTTTGGGCCTCTTACTGCAGTGCAGAATATAGAATGGACCTCATATGAAGATTTTGTTTAACTATTTTTTTTTTCAACAGTTGGAGTATTTAAACGAACTTTTATGTACATTTTGATTAATTTTTATTTGATTCGATCAAAGACAAATTATTTATGTCAACATTAAGATATTCATGAGAGATAAATCTCATGGGCTAACCTGAAGGAATTATCAAAATTCAAATTCAGAGCATTTAGATTTACAACTCACCTCTGTTACCACTTGAATTACTTTATATTTTTTTAATTGTCTCTTCTTCTTGTTCCAACTTTTTCCCAAAATGAATTTTATTGGTCAAAGTTTTCGGTGATGATAAAGTTTGACAATAGAAAAAGAAAGGAAATTAATAGTTACAAAATCAATGATAGTTATTGTAGGGAAAGGCTACAGTATCGTACCGAAATTTATCATCATTTAAGGTTAAGTTATAACTTTTTTGAGGCATAAGTTATAATCTTTAAGGTTATGATCGATCATGATAAATTGGGATTGATAACGAAATTACAATTTTTAAAGATCAAATTACAATTCATAAATGAGAAATTACAACACTTTAGGGAAATTCATAATCGATCATATGTATTTATAATTGATCATGATCCTTTGATCAATTATAAACTTCTTTGAGCAGTTATAACTTTTTCTTTTTTTGTTGTAACTTTACTATAAAAATAAGAGCAATGCTACATGAATTTAAAAAGTAGACTTAAAAACTAGACCTGATAATATCAACTATTGAATTCATATGGATCCCAGTATTTATTGGATCTCACTACCTATTCAATAGTTGAGATTATCAAATTTAAATTTTAAGTATGTCTAACATTACTCTAAAAATAATAAGTAGAGGTACGGTACCGAAAGCAGTAACGTAGACTTTTCCGTTATTATATTGTTCAATTTATAACGGGTCTTGTTTTGTTGTTCTCTTTTTATGGCAAATTTGACGAAGTCTTCTCATTTGCTTAGTCTTACTGGGCCAAGGTTTACTGGAAAATTGATTAACCAAATAGTCTTTAAGATGGTGATGCCAGAGCAATGAAAAAATTACTAGGAGTTGACACATGCAACGTTGGACATCAATCTTATCATTCTGACTGGGTCTTTTACAAACCAAAACACGCGTTTTCAAGGTTAGTGATGGATTTAAATAGCAGACAGGTGCCAATTCTCTAGACCAAGTCAAGATAATTTACTTGGAGTCCATTTTCAAAGTGCTATGTATTTTGAACTTCATTTTTTTTTTATCAGAGTTTCTAACTTGTTTTTGGAACTATTGTTGTTTCTATAAAAGTGAGTTTAGCCAAGCTTTTGAATGTAGACCACGATAAATAAGTTAAAAAAACACTCTATAGGTAGAATCATATACAAAAAAATTGATAAAGTTGAAAAAAAAATTCATATACTTGTATCAAAACTTGTGAATCATTTTGATTTATTTTTTAAAATTTTTCTCAATGGCAGATCGCTTACTGTGTATTAGTGGAGTGGAGGATTCAATTATACATAGTCGATTCATGAGAGAAATTGTCAAAAAGTATATTGGAGTAAATTTGGATCTAAGAATTACCTTCTAAGCAGAAAGATGTTCATTAGCCACAAACAGCTGAAAACAACACATAAACTTGTGGTGCCTCAGAGTTCTCATCCAAATCTGGGCAAGGTTGAGTGTATAATTCAACAGAAGTCAACCTACATTGTCCTTGGAAAGAAACTTAATACCTTGAAAGAAGAGGTAGACTATTTGAATAGTGGCTGCTTCTGGTCTTTCCAGGAATGTGCACTAAATAGAAATTGAAGGATTGACAATGGCTTCTTCTGCCCATTGGACCATACCCTGCTACGGATTAGCATTACCCCCACAAAATTAAGGAAGCCACTGTCCACCAAGAGATAGGAGCCCATTTGAACAATGAAATTATTTGGAGTTGGTTTTTTTAGGCGAAAAGTTGCGTTTTGAAAAGTTCTCGAAAAAAATTAGAGTTAAAAAAGTTCTTCAAAATCATTTGGGATGTTCTTTAAAAACTAAAAAAATTCGTTTAAAGTGACTTTCTAACTTTTTTGGCTATTTTTTGTCAAAATAAAAAAAAATAATTACATGTATATATAGATTATGCATAATAGTTTCCAAAATATGAATTTAAATTTTCTTACGTCACTAATAATATTTTATGAATATACTAAACTAAATTATTATGTGAGACCCATGGTAAAACTCTAAAAAATCAGAAGAAAAATTTATAAAATTAATTTTTTAAATCAGATTAAATAAGTCTTTTTGCCTCCAAAAAACTACTCTATATGCTGATAACAGACCTTCTTATTGTACTCCAAAGCCCTTAAAAACTAACTATTAAAGTTAGTTTCAAATAGATTCAATGACCGAAACCAATCAAAAATACATGGTCAAAACGTTAAGTTTTGTTAGAAAAAAGCCATGGAGGAACCCCCAGTTCAACTTAGTCGTGTCGTGAACCTGACGGTCTACAATCTAATTCTTCAAATTCAAAGGAGACATCAAATTCAAAGGAAACAATGACATGGCCTATTGTCTCTATTGTTTGTTCCCAAATTGTACTTCAAGCAATAGTTCCCCCATACCCTCTATATATACACTCCTCTTGCTCCATGTTTCTGCATCAGCAATTTACATATCCACTAAATCCACTAAATCCATTAACTCTCTCTCTCTCTACAAAATGTTGGGTTCCTTGGAATCTTGCATCTATGAAAATTTCATGGATGGAAGACTAAAAGCTAGGAAACCAAAGGCACCTGGTTATGTATATAGAGATGAGTTGGATAGGAAGGCTTCACCAAACAAGCTAAAGAGAAGTGATGACGTTGACCCACAACCATTGCTTCAAAAAGAAGTTGAGAAGCATTCTGAGAGAAAAAGCAGTAGCAGTGGTTGTGTTGAGGGGAAAGGTGGGCTTAGAGTTAAAATTGTGATGACAAAAGCAGACGCGGCTCGCCTCTGGCAAAGTCTAAGGATGGAGGGTTTCTCGAATTCAAGGACGTAGTTCAAGAGCTGGTAGAAATCCCTATGAATCGTGTTAGTGTTATTGTCCCAAAAACTAACAGTGATCGCGTACTTGAGAGTATCCCCGAAGAACTATAGATGAGAACTCCTAATTATTTGTATCATTATTAACCAAAACAGATTTTATTAATGTACTTTCACTGTGATTGTGTAGAAAATTAGTAAGGAAATTGAAGATGTTATGATTTCCTTGAAATGCGGAAACAGTCTCTGTGGTGGTTAAAGATAGGAAGGGTATGTACTTGTAGACTACTAATATGAGATAAGAAAGGCGATAACTGTGAGACTCCACTGAAATCTACCACTTTTCTGTGTGAGTAGTGAAATTCTACATACTAAAACGAATATGGAATTTTATGTCCAGTTTGTCCATCAATCCAAACACAATAACTGGTATACAAAACAGGCATACATTGATCTTATGGGATTCAATCAAAAAAGATATTCCTAGGATGCTAGGAACGCTACTTTCTATCATTTGTGCCCAGAAATTGAATTTGACAAGAACATATCAAGCAACTTCATACCACATAGTCCTACTTGGAGGCAAAAAAGGAAAAATGATGGGGCAACTGACAACCCCAAATGGGCAAACAAAGTTGACCTGATGCATCAACCACAGAGTTCTGTTCTAATTCTAACATTTGAACTGAAATCTGAAGAGGTTAGCTGCCACTGTTCACGCTGTTCGACCTTAATGCCGCGGATTCGAATCTCGTGTCTCCCTCCCCTCTGTAATATCCTAACAAAGAAAAACTGAAATATGAAAGCCCCAAAGAGCTTTAACCGAAGCCATTATGACGCGAAAAGTGCAGGGTATGAATAGAAACAAAACAAGAAAATGGAAAAAAAAGTGAGATTTTCCCTTGGGCCCTGTTTTGATGATAGTGATCGGGAATGGACATCTCATTCCTAGAAAGGGGATGCCTCGTTTCAGATATTGAGGTGATCAAAATACTACCCGTGGCGCTAGGTCTTGGAATTCTGATGCCTGTGGTGATGTCTTACCTTCTTATCGAAACATGTAATCCATGTATTTGAGAATGAGAATTATTCTGATTTAAGATTACCGTTATCCAAACGAGACCTTAGTGCTTTCTGATTCAGCAGTAAATATCTGGTTTTGCTTGCCTAAGCCTTTACCTCTGTAACATGATTTCTTATAATTGAGATTAACGCATATAAGAAAAAAATGTGGTCATGCACTTAAAGTGTTAGAAACGATAAACATTAAACAAATTCCTGACCAATACATAATACAGAGATGGAGGTGAGATGCAAGAAAATGGTAAAGTCCTTATTCCAGTGCCACACTAAATGAGGAGGATCCCAAGTTGATGGTAGCACCACGTTACAGACAGCTATGTCTTAATATGGTACATTTAGCAGCTCGTTGTTCTAACCTTAAGTCTGCACACCAATTGGTGAATCGCGGTATTAATGAGTTGTTCAAACAAGTGGATTTGATGTATACATCACTTGGTACTGAGGAGGACAATGATGGTGATGAAGGAGTAGAAAATATCTCTCTCTCTAAATGAGCAGAAAATGTTGAGCCTAACATTGTACGGGTAGGTGGCTTGAAGAGGAAAGATGGTGGTTACAAGGGTTGAAGTCGATTGAAGCCTTGGAATGAGAAGCCAACGAAGAGGAAAACTGGAACTTCCTATAGGTCTAAGGTATTACAACCCCAACATTATGGTTATGATATTTTGGATTCTTTTTTTTTAATTGTATCTTACATCTTTGAATGTTTGTTTTGAAGATATCTCAATCGGATGAGCAAAATTCACATATGAATGGATTTACCTACTCATGGTCATCAACTTATAGTCACTTAATCCAATCTCAAGCATGTCTTCTCAAGCATCAAATTCTCAAGCATCAATTGCTTCACAAAATGCTCGGGTAAATGTTGAATCATGCTTCTTGGACAACGTCGTTGATTATCCTAATGAGGAGAATTGATGTTGCTGCAATGCTGGATGTTGTTGCAATGCGGTGCTTCAAATTTTGTTCAAGATTGACAATTTTTTTTGATCCTTTTGAAATGTGGATGGTGGATCTTCTTTTGCTATGGGGATGGTGGATCTTCTATTTTGTTGTTTTATAAGATCTGTCATCCCTTTAGAAACACTTGTGTACATGATCTCATTTTTATTTTTTTATGGAATTGATCTTGGACAAATAAATTTTTTTTTTATCTTGGACAAGTAAATTTTTGTTATGTACCATGCAACAAAAGCACCATGTTCAACCAACGAATACACCAATACATCATTTTCAACCAACCAATACACTTTATTTCATAGAAAAAGAATTACAATCAATGAGACAAGCAGACAAGCCCTGCTCTGTCTTTATCCAGAAATCCAAGAAAAAACAAGTTAGTCTCCAATTCTGTCCTGACTGCACAGTCAGTCTGCCATAGACTGCAAAACCACAACATGCCTCCAAAGAAGAGAATTTTATTTATTGAAATTCAAAAATTACAAGAAGCAAAAACAGAAACTATTAAGCAAATAGTAACTGTTTTAACAATCTAAAACAGAAAATTGTACAAAAAAAAAATCACTATGCAGATCCTGTACAACCACTATATGCAGAACCTCACAGCTCAGCACCTGCCCTTATAAGGTTCTGCAGCTTCAGAATCTGGAGCAAAAACCTCCACTTAAAACCTCCACCCTGGAACCTGATGCAGAGCCTCATCAAATTTGTTCAGGAATGCATAACAGCAGCATTGCCACACAACAGGGCCAGTCTGTCAATCTGAAACTGACCAAAATCCATGAAACTTAGAAGTGGCTTTAATCCTTCAAAGGATCAAACCAAATCCTTATTACAATGATGGACCAGGGCCTGACTCCATGCTTGCATCCTATGGTTGCAAAACATATTATCCCACCCCAGCCCTATGCCTTTGATCACAAACTACAACCCTCCTCACTCTAGCATTTGGTATCATAACTTGATCCTGTAGCAATTGCCTGCATCACATTCTGTTAACCAAAAACTAGTGTAGCAGAAAAATAGAAGTCCAATACCAATTGAAGCAGACAGAGACAAATTCAATTTATATAAACAACTGACTGTATGTAGAAAGCTTCTAGATAAAAAAAAAGGACACAGTAATTATATAAACAGACTACAATTTCATCACAGCAGTGTACTAATTAAGAGATGTGGTGAGAAATTACTGTATGGAATAGTTATGAATCCTTCATGTTCAGTAACATCCTTGTGGTTGTCTACAATGTGAGGAGTATTTTTCCCATTTGCATCTGCAAGACCTCCATTTTCACATAATTTGCCTCTGCCTGAAATTCTTGAACAGATGGTTGCTCTGTATGAATGTATTTCTGAAATTCATTTTTCCCCAAAACTATTTCTAAAATATAAGAATAACACATTTAATCCAATTCTGTATGAATGTACTACTTACAAAGAAATTAAAACTGAGAAAGAAAATTACTGAACTGTAGCGATAGTGCTTGAATTTCATCTGTGTGTGCACATTCATCTTCCTCGAAGCCCTACTGTACAGAAATCAAAAAGGGATAACAATCGGGTAAAAGAGAGATCAATTGATCTAGACTTGGATTGCATTGATAATCTTTTATTCGTTTAATTGTGATCGTGAACTAAAAAATTATATATATATATATATATATATACACAGATGAGATTAGAAAGTGGCAATAATCGAAACCGAGTTGAAAAATTACTTGATCGGAGATGACTGTTTACTCGAACATGATCGTGGTCGACGGGCTTCGATTTGGTTTGAGGGAGGATCGCAGCGAGAAGACGAACGAAGCTGCACAACCTCGACTTTGACGGAGGATCACAGCGAGGAAGACGACGTTGTTTTGCAGGATGCTGAATTCTTTTATTATTGTTTGGAACGACACCGTTCCACTAACATCAGAGTTTGCTGTTAGACTACTAACCGCAGAGGAGCTCTACCCACCCAGCCACCCAAATAAGAGAGAAAGTAAGAAGGGTCTCCTTTTACCTGTTGGGAAGGAAATTAGTCCGTGTGTAAATTATAGCTAACATGAAATTAGAGGATTGAGTTTTTTTGAATCATTCGTTTATTAAACATGTAGATTTGACATCATATGATTAATAAATTAATTGAGTATGAGTGAAACTAATAAAAAAAAATATATGACACGATTTGTTTATAAATCAATTATTTACGGTTCATACATGACACGAGCTCGATATGACTCATATGATACGTTTATTAAACACGAATTAATAAACAATCGGATATGAATGAAGTATTTTTTAATACAAAATCGTCTCATTCGACAAAATTTACAGGTCTAGTGTAAATTGATTTAGATACTTTAACTGTAATACTAAAAACAAATGATAAAATACAAAAAATAATGAATTTAATGGTGTTTTCTCTTTTGCCTTTGTTGGTGGAGTTTCGAAGGAAATCCAAGATTCTATCCATAATTTGATGATTTCTACAAGGTTGATATAGAAGGATTAAATTTTTTATAATATTTTTTACTTAAATTATCTCATTTTAGTTTGGGTTACTTAGCCTCTTTTTATGGTTCCATACTTTAGAACTTTATATTTATAGTGATGTCATGCTTGCATTTAGTATTCCTCAAAAATAAATTTTGATTGATCATATATGTATATAATTATAGTTGTTAATATCGTACGATACAATACAGACGATATATAAAGAAAATAATACGTATTTTAAGTGTATTAATTTGCATCGTATCATGCGATATAAGATACGATATATCTAATATACTAGATGATACATATGAGTCATCAATACGAGACAAAATAGATCAAAAAAAATTCCATTGAATTTTAATCAGAAAAAACGCATTTTTACTTAAAAGTAATTTTTTTAAACACCGGGTAATAAAAAACATGTTATTTCACTATGTACAATTTTTAAGAAAAAAGTCTTATTTTTTATTCATTCTATTATAGAAG